GAATAACAAGGAATAGAAAGCAACACCTAAATCTAATTAGGTTGTTTTGTATGGGGACCATAGTTACATGGGCTCATTGATACGGGACCTGAATTACTTCCACTCACTTCTTCAATTTTCCATATTATAAGTAAGCATTTTTTCTTCGGTGTCTAAACTCATAATGTTCAAGGGGTTATAGCTACTGTACCTTCACTCAAAGCTCCAGTCAATACAGTGTATAAAACTGGAGTGTATAGCAGTACTACCAGTATCTGCTATAAGGACTAAAAATACTTATCTACATTTTCCCAAATAACAATTTAGACATTTCATAAGAAAACTGAAAGACTACAATGAGTGAACTACATTCTCCACTTTCTATAAGACTACTTATCTTCTATATCTTAAATAAACCCCCCTACAAAACTTACTATGAACTACAAATTCTTTTGGCTGAGAAAGACCTACTGATCTCATTATTTCTCTGTTAAACTTACATCAGACTTATTGACCAACTCTATCCTCAAAATTTGAAAAATGTTTCCATTACCAACCACCAATTAAGCATATTCAGAGCAACAGCATTCTCATTGTATATATTACCTTACTTCTTACAGAGAAAAACTACATTGGTGGATTGGTGAGAAGTGTAGAATAATAGAAGTAGTAATGCTATACTATAAAGGCAATTGAATAAAAAAAAATATTGAATTGCTAAGTAATCAAAAAGATTAATCAGCCTGCTGCATAAAAATATTCAGACAGACCCCAATCATATCAACAATATGACATGCACTAATTCAGAGTGATTTCACTTCTTAATACAATGTTTAGTCTTCCATTGAGAAGAGGAATGGCATCTACTACATTTCTTAACTTTCCTTTAAAATATTCTTGGCAATTTTTTTGCTTTTGTTTTGTGGTATGGACAAACATACTCGGAAGTCACACTGCAGTATGTTCAGTCATTCCTTTATAAGGAAGGAAAAAATATATCCCATTGTCTCTTGTTTCTCTTAATATGTATGGTGCTGTCAGAACCTAAAATATATTTATATATAAAATATATAAATCCTGTGTCATTAAGTCACCAGTCTTCCTTGGAAAATCTTCTTTGGAAAAAACAATTAAAAGTCAAGTGTAATGAAAGGCCAAAGGCAACTCCTTTCTCTTCAAATGAAAAAAAGAATAACAATCAAATACATACACATGATCCTGGCTTTCTCATGACACAAGAGTAGTCTGAAAATATGCCCTTTTTTTACCAATGTTACCAGAAAACTCATATGGAGTACAGAAGAATTTAAACTGCATAGTTTAACCCCAAAGGAAACAATACAGCTGAATCTGATTAGATTAGACTAGATTTGATCTAAGGTAAACTAAAAGTAAACTACAGTCTAACAGACAACTCTAGCTATATAACGTATTTCCAACTGAAAAATGAATACTGAGCAAGATGCTGACATGCCGTACATTGTCATACTTTGTTGTTTGGGTTTTTTTTAAAATAAAGGTTAACAAAAAGATGGCATTCAGGAAAAATATCAGACTCTGCTCAACTGTATGACAAACAATCTTTTTTCTTGTTCCTAAGGTTATCTGTGAGTTATTTAAAGAAAAAATGCTAAAAATATGAAACAATCTCGAAGATTGTTTGGAGAAGTAAAGTGAATGAGGTCAGAGGAGCCATCCAGACTGGTTGATGGCAGTTTACCACATCAGAACAGCAAGAGTACCTGGATTCTCATTTACAGACACTATACATAGCATATACAATACAATACTATATATTTTTAAAAATCAGTTTGGGATTGAGTATAGTAACAAAAGTATGGAAAGTTCTGCTGTAGTCAATTGCAATAATTTCTCAGATGTAAAAGATGTGTTCCTATTAGGGAAAAGAGGAATTGAAGAATGCAGTGTTCATTACCTGTGAGTGGACAGACAGCAAAATGATCCTACAGGCTTCAATAACCTTTCATAAGCCAAAATATTTTGCATAGTCAAAAAGCAGTGCCAAAAGCCAAAGGGCTGTAGGTAATTTTTGATGGAAAGAATTATACAGCCCTCTCTGAATTTAATTCTGGTAGGAAGTAGGGGAAAAAGACCTTTTATACATTCCATCTAGCTGAGCAGAAAGCACACAGCTGTGTATGTGACACTACAGATGATAGTTCCAACACTTCAACAACTCCAACACTGACTTCAAAAGTAACCTGGCTGTTCTGGTGCCAGGGCACCTCTGCAAGACCAATTGAGGTAACTTAGTGGATAAAATATAATGAAGCATTGCAACAAAACAAAGTTATGACAAAGAACACGAGAGAGACAAAAAGTTACAAGCATGACAGACTCATGGACTCATATAATACAGAAAAAACAGGCATGCTCTCAAAGAGTGTATGCAAATAGGCTTAGAGTAAATATTCAGAGTATGGAAAAATTAGCAAATTGGTCAGAAGGATCTGTGATACGTTCAGGGAAGTGAATTGTAACGGACTCACTCCAGACTTTAGACTGATGGCTGAAATGTGAAAGGGAACAGAGATGTGTAGATATGGTTGAAAGCAGGATTGTTATTTAGACTGATCATAGGTTTTATGATAAAAGCAGTTTGGTAAAAACAAACACTTTTAGTAAGAACATGGAAAACACCTCATCCACAGTTAATCTCAAGGCAATATTGCTTTAATGCTCATATAGATGTTTCTGTTCTCTTATCAAAATAAGCAAGGAGCACTTACTAGAAGTAAGCACTTACTAGAATTACTTCATCTTCCTCCAGAGTGTATACAACAAAAATGAAAAAAGCCCACCAGTAATTAAGGAGTGGTATGTATACTAAATATATATGGGAATGAGATGCATCACAAGAGAATATGTCTCTGTAAGATTGAAACTGAAAGCACTAAGCTCCTCAATTCTTACAAGAAAAATATATCTGTGAGTGCTTGACCCTGGTCCAGCAGCCAACCATCCACACTGCTACTCACTCTACCACCCTTCTCCAGAGGCACAGCACAGAGAATATGAAGAACAAAAAAACTCATGAGTTGAAAAAAAGGCAGTTTAATAAGCAAAGAGAAGAGGAAAAACCCCCAATAAACCAAACCACAACAAAACAGGGGATGCAAAGGTAACCATATTTCACAAGCAGAATGATGTCCTATCAGTCTCCAAGCAAAGGCTAGCTCCCCTCAAGCCCCCTCTGCTTTGTTTTTATTGCTGAGCAATGATGTCACGTGGCATGGAATGGTCAATTTGGTCAATTTGGGTCACTGGCCCTGGTTGTGGCCCTCTCAACTTCTTGCCTACCCCTTGGCCTATTCACTGAGCGGGAGCAGTGCAAGAAAAAGAGAAGGCCTTGATGGTGCACAAGCACTGGTCGGTAACTACCAAAATATTGGTATGCTATTAAAATTGCTTGAGTCACAAACAAAAACACAGCACCATATAGATTACTATGAAGAAAATTAGCTCCATCTCATCTAGACCCAGTACAACATCTGAAGGTGTTTTACTTCCAAGAATTCTCAAAATGCACATGCTACTGTTTTGTGAACTAGAATCCCTTGGGATTTCTCCATCTAATGGCTGAAGTGGACAGCACAGGAGCGAAACTGCTTCAAACTATCAGGGTGGAAACTGAAGTCAGAGGTTTAAACGTTCTATCTTCTTTCACTTATCCTTTACATTTTAGAATATTGATATTAAGTTGACGACGTGTTGATATCTAAATCTGCACACTGAGATTTGTTCACTTAATTCACAGGAGAACTTCTAAGCCTTGAATGGTTGGGATGGATTGGGAAAGGTTGGACAACATGAACTGGTCAGTTGAAGTAGGGAGGAAGAAAGTGATGGAGGAAGTGATGAGAGACTAAATAAAACAGAATTAAGAATTCAAACAAAGTCTATGGAAGAACTTAAAACTTTTCTGGATAATTTATTATTATTCACCCGTGATGCTTTAACACAAAGTCTGGGAGAGGAGCTGCCAAGTGGTTTAGGAGATTAATTGCACTAACTTAAAGCAGAAAATCTGTCCTACTAGAAAATAATGATTTTCAGGTCATTTTTAGGAAACGGGTAACAAATTTGGTACAGATCAAGAAAGGTTTTAACATGAATTTCTAATACCTCCTGGTAGCAGATGACCTGTACTATTGATGCTTCAATAGAGATTATCTCCTTAATACATATTAGAAGCAAATAAAAATAGGGTAACACATAAAGAACATGGAAAATAACAACAGCGAATGAACTCCTGTTCTGATACATATGGACTATTTGGCCCACAACAACTAGTAGATTTGAGGCACTCCTACCACATGGAATGATGTCTAGGAAAAGCTTATGTATGCTGTGATGTGTTAAACTTTTCTCAAGCATATTAATTATTGATGCTTTATTAAACTTCAATTTTGCTTTCATCTTTCCTGAAGTCCAGTAAAATCACCTCTGACTTCCTATTCCACAGCTACTTTAAGAACCATCAGTTATGCCTCTGAGTTGCAAAAAAATTCTACGATCAAAAATACAATATATTTTACCATGTACTTTGCCAGCATCTCTTGTCAATATGAGTTTCTGCATGACAGTGATAGCACAGTCATGATGATTGTGCATGGTGTTACCATTTATAATGAAAAAGGAGAGTTAGATGACAATATTAGAATTTGCGAATATAGATGTATTCTATAAGAGATACAGAACCAAATGTAGTGCCTTCAAAGTTAATTCAACTAACGCTAAGATTAACCTTTGTACTAGTTGCAGATGCTCACTGAATTCCCAAGATACAACAGATTACAGAAATGTATTTGTAGGAGCTTTACTTTATCTTTGTAGTTGCCATGCGTGTCATTAATCTTAAGAGAGGATGAACTGCACAGAAGATGAACTTTTTAATGACTGTCATATCTCCACTCAAATAATTCTTATAAAGCCAACAGTCCACCTCAAAAGACTTGTACAGCTAACTAACCCAGTGCTTCCCCTTTTAGATTACAAACCTTAATTTATCTGTTCCAGTTTTGTACCTCGAGATTCGAGCCATCGACAAAGGAACTGATAAGGTGTCTAGCCAGCGCTTCTCATATTTTGGTTCATTAGCTATGGGTGAAGAAGGTGATGATGGGGCCTGTGCAGAATAAATGAGAAAGAGTAAGAGCAGTTTATATGACAATACAGTGAAAAAGTCATGAATATGCATCTCTGGTTCTGTTTGTCTCAGAAGTGAATAATCATAGCAATGAAAGTATACAAGAAACTCAGAATTTGGTAGAGAAATAAAAAGAATCATTCATGTAGAAAGGAATGCGACCCATCTTGATATTTTGCTTGTGATGTTAATTTTAATAACTGCTACTAAGAAGGAAACAGCTTTTAGTCATAAATACCCTGAATTTTCTCTAAATGTGACATAAAATACATTCTTAGTTTAAATTAATTTGGTCTGTACATATCTTCTACATGCCTCAAAAAAATCATCAGAGAAAAGGAGACAAATAATATCCTAATTAAATACTACATTAGAGGATTTATTTGTGCATTGTGGCTTTCATCCATTGTATTATTTAACAGTAGATTTAAAATTCTGATTCCTGAGTGATCTACAACTATCTATCTATCTATCTATCTATACAGATTGATGAATTTTGAAATTTTAACTTTGAAGTTCTCCTTCAAATGCTTCTACTAGAAAGGCAAAACTGATGAAACTATCTAGGCACTAAAGGATGTCCAGATCTCAGAACAGTGACAATATAAATATTTTACAATCTACTAATTTAATGTTACAAAAGAAAATAACTTTATATCAAATGTGTTCGAATGCAAATTAGGTTAGAAGAATTAGCCTGGATATATATAGTTATTGATAAAGGGGTCTGTTCAAACCCAACCTAGAGCTTATATACAGACTATTCAGCCTGCTCTTACATGTAGCATCTTGTGTACTGCAGGTAAATAGTGCACGAAGGCACCAGGAATGAAATATGACAAAAAAATATTAATGAAATTTTAAAAGTTGGCGCAGAACCACTAGCACTAAAATATTCAGGACACTGAAGAGACATATATTTCTTAATTGATATACACTTGCAGAATATGTAGGTTTTTTTCCTGTGTAATAATTTCCAGAGGTTTACACCATTATATCAGTAACTGAAAGTACGGAAGTATGCCCAAAAAAAGATGGTAACTGGGCTTCTTTGCAAATTATTTCAAAATATTGTTTATGGGTAAAAATCGATTAAATTAGAAACGGATTAGAAAATGCTGGAAACTACTGCTCAGTGTACCGACTGAAATTTATGAGCATGATTATGAGCTTAAAAAACGCTTAATAAATACGCAATAAAATGAGCTAGGAGTTTCTTACAGAATACTTAATAATCATAACTTGAAAACTTTTTATTGGCATTTATAGCCCTGCACTACTATGGCAACTGAGCATGTCGCCCTTTTACAAAGATAACAATCATATTAACAGAGAGGCAGCTGAGAAGAATTCAAAGACATAGATATTTACCTTGAAGTTAGGCATTTGTGCTGTCTCTGAATCAAATTTTTTTTTCCCATATTTTACAGCAAACTTTCCAGTTGAAAGGTGGTTATTTTTATATGAGCTGTATATATGCACTGAGTAGCACTTACAAGAGCAAGGAAACTACAGAATGACCCAACTTCAGCTCTGTTATGCCCAGGTGTTCAAAAGCCATAAAACTTACTCAAAATAAAGAGTATTCTGGGAATTGTCTATTTCTTTTTCTTGCCTGTAAGGATTTAAGGATTATTTTTTCTCCCTAAAGCTTACAGTCAGCAAGGGCTGATCTTTCTATTTACTTCTCTAAGTAAATCAAAATAGTGAGTTTCACATTCTAACAGGATGACTGAGACTTAGTGAATGAGGCAAACTTTTCTAGTAAATGAAAAATTTGTAATGAATTTGCTGGAGTTGGTAACAATAAAGAATCTTTTAGACAGCAACAGCTTTGAGGAAAGGAATTTCATTTAGAGAATTTGCAATCCATGGAACAATCCAGCTTTCATTTGATTGAGATCTCCTGGTGTTTTTGCAGTATGAATATTTCATAATCAAGTCCAAAGACTAATTCTGTTTTATAGAATTAGCCACAAAAGGCTAAGGTGTCTTCAAAGCCCAGCATAAATTTATTAATATCACAATGAATAATCTGACACATATTAAAGAATTCTGCACAAACTTAAATAATTGACAGAACCACAGGCAATCTGAAGTTGAAAAGGATCAACATAATCTACCATTGTCTGTCTGGAAACTGAAATGTCTAGGAATAAAGCAGAAGGTAACAATCAATCGTAAATGCTTGATAATGATCACTAAATTTAAACCCAAGATTCAGAAAATAAAGGAACATGAATGTTCCTGCAACACCTTCATCTATTGTTCCCATCCTCTAAACTCTCAAGTTACAGAAAACATCTAGACAATTTAAACATACAAATCTGTCTTTTTCTTGTGAACTATTAGCTGTACTTCTTTTAGCAGGCTGTTGAACAATATTCTATGATATTGTATCTGATTTCAGAGCATTTGGTAGCCAAAAACTAATGAGTGGGTCACTTAGGCAATTTAATGCTTTCATTTGGTCTCTTCAATCAAATGCTTTAGTAGGATATCAGTGTAAAGAAAAAATATCTCAATTTAAGTAACAATTAGAAGACGTACATGACAGTTATTCATTAGGTTAATGAATTGAAGGGGAAAAAATGGCCAACAGCATCAAAATCTATTAACCCCAAAGCTATGAAACTGCAGCATAGACATATTTGTGCCAAAATGCTAAACTGTTACGACTTCCGTAAACTCATAAAGAAAATGGGGCTTCTCAAAAAAAAATTCAAAGTTTTGATATTTGAAAAATACACTAGAAGGAGAAATTTTATTTTTTTTACCACAGTTCTGTACATTTATGTCTGCAGAAGCCCTCCTGTATGGTCTGAACATTAACAACCAAGTACAGGGAAAGGATACAAAGGGGTCAAACTGATCCAAGTTTCAAATGTTATTCCTTATTAAGCCATATTTCACTAACTAGTCTATCGTAGAGCATAAAGCTGGGCTGACCCCTGTTCATCTTCTTAAGGACAAAAAGGGCATAAATATGTCCATAAGACTATTGCACAGAAACAAAATACTGTCACAGGGCCAGCAGTTCATTTTGTTCTGTTTAACCTATAATCTATTAACAATTTAATATGTATCCTCTTCAAAACACATGGATAGAAATAAGAAAATGAGGAGGAAGCAATTTAATACAACTTTTGCAAACAGAGGACTTGCCTCACATATCTTTTAGAGTAGTCCAAAACTGTTAATTAATATGAAAGAAGCATTTGCTAAGGTGTACTTGGATTTTAAAAAACCTTTTGTCCTTCACAAAGGTTCTTAACTAATTTGCTGTAAAATAAGGTGAAATCATCAAATTAATAATTATCTAAACTATAGCAAGCAAAACACAGCAGCAGTGCACTATGAGTGGACCCGCAAAGTAACATATGCTGTTTAGTATAGAGATTGTTGATCTGGACAAGATGGTGAACACCAGACTGACCAAGTTTCCTATGCATAACAAGTAACAAAGAATAATGAAAAGAAAACCAAATGGGAAACAGCTGTGGAAGAAGCTCATTATACCGAATGACTTAGATAAAAGGACTGCTAAAAATATAATAGATAAAGGTATAGCAATGCACATGAAGAAAGACAATATTAACTTTCCCCACACTGTTATGGGACATGAACAGGCAATTAACACTCAAAATTTAGATCTTGCATTTGTGGGGAAAGGAATCGATTTCTAACAATTAAGTCAACGAAGATTCTTGATAAGAAACTCCTGAGGGAATTATATGACCAAGGTATGTAAAAAATAAATAACAGAGAAAGGGATTAGGAAACAACATAATTGTACATATTTCCTCTGATTTTGCATTCTCTTGAGGGCATCTGCTGGCAACAAGCTTTTTGGCTAGATGGTTCTCTGGTCTGACCCAGTGTGCTGAGCTGGCTGACCTTCAAGCCATCTCTCTACTAAACAGCTGCTGCTGCTCATGTTAAAAACTCTCCACTGCATTCCTCCAAAGCACTAAAATAGAGATCATTTCTGCAATCACAGCTTTTATGCCCGGGTTCATTTTATACCTTTGATTTTCTGCAGAAGCCGCCAAAAATGTTGCCAGTTAATGCCAATGTACTTGTAACACCCGTCCATTAAGAAATGGATTGAACACAAAAATCTTGTTATTGACAGAACAGTGAACAAGAATCAGGTTGTAATAACACATAATCACTACCCACCTGGGACAGCTGTGTATTGTTGAACTGGAGGACGATCTGACTCTGTATCCCAAAAGATATCACTGACCTAAGAAGGACAATGTAGGCAAGTGCTTTGTTGCTCTCCTAAACAACTATATAACAACTTATTATGGGGCAGCCAAAAAGTCTTCCCAGAAGTAGAATGAGTCCACAAAGTCCTCCACTAAGTGAGAGACCTAATCAGACATGTCTCTGTAATTAAGTTTCCACTAAGAACATAGGAAGGAAGGCAAAAGATCCCAACTGGCTGGGACTGTCAACTTTTCATCTTTTTGTGACATCAAATTTGCGGAGCTGTACTAGTGCCACACCTTGAAAGCAGCCAAAGTGTTATTTTAGGTTGACATACTGCTCTTTTGTTAAACATGGGCTTCAGGAAGGTTGAAGCTGGGTTACTTAATTTGGAATCAGAAATACTCAGGATCACATTACTCATCATGGTTAATCTTGCTTTTAAATATGCTTTTCATCGCATACAACAAACACTATCTGCTTTGTAGAAAGGCAAGTCTTGATGCCCCATCCTTGGAAGTATCCAAGGCCAGGTTGGATGGGCCTTTGACCAGCAACCATCATGAGTGCCGTCATGTGGCATGTGCAGGACAACAAGGTAATCAAGCACAGGCAGCATGGTTTTAGGAAAGGCTGCTTGACCAGCCTGGTCTTCTATGACAGGGTTATTGGCCTAGTGGATGAGGGAAAGGCTGTGGATGTTGTCTACCTGTACTTCAATAAACTCTTCGACTCTGCCTTTCACAGCATTCTCCTGGAAAAGC